ATCTAGTTTTTTTGTTATAATACTTGACATTAATACTGAATCATTTGATATATGATTGATTAAAGACTAGAAAGAAAATAAAAGAAGTTTTATAAATTATGCAAAATATTCTTGATAAATAATGGAAAGCAAATTAATAAAATACTATCTAGACAGAGAAGAGTCTTTAAAAAACGGGTTACCTATAGTGGAACACATTAAAACGCGTAAATTTGTTCTAAATTTACGTGTTTTAACCCATTTGCAGCGCAAACTTCAGGAGTCTTATCGTGTTCAAGGATAAAATGCATATTAACACACGAAGATCAATTAATAAAACCTATTTTTACACTTATTTTTCTGAACGAGTTTTATTATGTTCAACAAGTATTCATGATTTCTCATTTTTTTAAGCTATTCAACGCATTTAACGGAATTCATCTATTGAGATTCGTTTAAGCGCAGAATTTTTAGTTGATATATGTCGCAGTCAAGTTTTCTTAGAACCATTAAAGTTCTTGATTTTTCGTTTTGACATAAATAAGTGATGAAAATTGTGTAAGATGAACGTATCAAAAAGTGATAAAAAATAAATCTAGAATGTTATATATTAACGTTTAGTATTGAGGAAAGAGAGAAAGGAGCTTAAGAATAATACAACGAAAGAGCAACTACACGTATGAAACACTTCGTAATAAAGCCATCGTATTGACTAAACAAGAACAACTGAAGCATAACTAACTTTTTTTTCGTTTTTACATCGCTTGTCTATTTATCAAGCAATGAATGAGCATATTTCACATTGTCATGAAAAAAAAATTGTATTGATCATATTTGAATGATAACTGTGAGGAAAAAAAGCGCTATTTTTTGCGTTTAAATGCGTTACTTTTATTGCAATGCGTTCAATTTCATTGGTTTTTATTTGCAACGTGTTCAATCGCATCGTTTTTATCTGCGACACACTTTTTCAGTTTAGAACGGCACCAAAAAATACTGTTTAAGCGTGTTCATGCGAGACACGTATTTTATCCTCAGTTAACGTCATTTGAATTACCGTTTGAACGAGCTTTCTTTTGTGTTTGGACGCAATTATTTTTCCAGCATTCAAATCTGACTTTTTAGCATTGTTTTACTGAAAAAAACGTGCGAGAATGCTTTTTTTTTTTTAAATATGTTTTCTTATTGAAAAATGAATATTTCTTATAGATACATTAAAATATTCGCATTCTTATTATAAGTAAAAATGGCGTTTTATGAAGTAAAGTCTGCTACCGTTTAGGCAAACATTTTGAAGTATCAGACTGAAAAAGATACTGCTTAAATAGACTCGTTATAGCGATGAATTTTATGAATGCTGTGTATTAGAATGTATCTTAATATTTAGCAAGAAAGAAATAGTTGCGAAACAAAAAGAGCAAATGTAGATGAATTAGAACGAAGTTAGCCTGATTCAAAAAAATTTCTTGGTTAAATTTGAAAAACTATAAATAAATTTATGTTGGCATAACAATCCACGAGGGAACCTTTGCAGGTGCCTCCACCTCCCCCCCCTCCATCCGTTTTCAATGATATTTTGCCTTTAGATATTGTTTAGTACTCTAATAAAACCCTTGAAGGATTTGGGTTCTTGTCACTTCCTTCAAAAGTTATGAACGTTGTAATTTTGTCCTTGTAGTGCATAAGTTATAGTTTGAGACATAAATAGTACTACGATAAAAGATGAAATATTTCTGCATCGATTCAATCAAATAGACTGATATTTTGGTTATTGGTAGAAGTTTATTCAAAGTGTTTTTTCATGGGTATAAGGTAAACAAATACTACTGTTCAGTATTATTATTGGTATAATGAAAGCAGTTTCAGCTGTCATCTAAAAGAATAATAAGTACGAGTCAAAACGAACTTTATAAACGATACTGTATCGATGTACATGCAGCAAGATTTCAAAACTAGGCACTTTTAATGCTGAAATTCATGTCTCATATGCAAAAACACATAATTCCAGTCCTTTGGATATCAAAACACCAACTTTCTTGCAAAAACCAATACTTCATTTTTGAAAATTCGAAATTTTGTAACCTTTGACTTTTAAACTAACTAGTTTTGAAATCTTGCTGTATGTAAGTAGATCGATACAGAATCGTTTATAACGTTCGTTTTGACTCGTGCTTATTATTCTTTTAGATGACAACTGAAATTTATTTATGAAACACTATACATGAATTTGTTTTACTTCATCATAAGTGAAATTACTTTCATAATACTAACAATAATATTTAACAGTAGTATTTGTTTACCTTATACGCATGAAAAAACACTTTGAATAAACTTCTACCAATAGCGAAAAAATCAGCCTATTTGATTGAATCGATGCAGGAATATTTCATCTTTTATCATAATGCTATTTATGTCTCAAACTACGAGTTATGCACTACAAGAGTAAAATAAGAACGTTCATAACTTTTGAAGGAAGTGACAGGACCCAAATTCTTGAAGGTTTTTATCAGAGCACTAAACCGTATCTATAGACAAAAAAAATCATTGAAATCGGAGGGAGCACACGAAAAGGTTCCCTCGTGAGTTGCATTGTCTTTCAACCAATGATCTCACTTGTATGGTTGGCTTGTTGTTATATCCCACAACAATATCCTAAATTCTTAAACGTGATAGACAGTTGCTTCTCTTTTCAAGCTATGATTTGCTTTAATAGAGATTGCGATGAAAAAGCATTTATTGTCTGCAGTCACTGTTGAGAGAAACATTATGCTTGAAGCATTTTTTTTCTTGCTTATCATTTCCATTAGCGCTACCTTTACCAATTTTTTTCAAATAAAATCTCTAAGAAAACAATTACATAGACTTCCATAGACTGAAACACAAAAATCCAACACATTCTTTTTGTTAGTTCCATGTAAAAAGTGCTCTCGATAAGTATTTGAAATAATTTTAGGCTAAATAATTATTTGATCATTCTATAGTTGAAGAATTGATGATATTCAATTATTCAAAGTAAAGATATTCTTAATTTTTTAACCCTTCCGTTAGGGGGTTTTTCTATAGACAAAAGCATTTTTGGTCGCTCTCAAAAAGTACAAAGTGAGAGGTATGTAATGCCCGTACTTGGTACTGCTTCACAATGACGCTCAGAGTCTACTAATTGCGAGAATACTTTGATGACCTGACTAAGAGGCTGATCCTGCAAGATAGTTTAATCGTACTTTAATGTGCGGCAGCTTGGAGCATATTTGGAGGAAACTAGAATTAATGTGCAACTATTGGTGTAATCACCGCGATAGTATTTGAGTCGATACCTTAAGAATGCGACGTTTCATCTCAAGTGTAAGTGTTGTCTGTTGTATGCAGAAAGGTATTCTGCCTCAATATTGCCTTTCGGTGCGCCTTAGGGCTAGCACATTTTAGTTGTTTTCCCAAGTACGACTCTTGTAGAGTATATTAACACAACAATAGAACAATCATTCAATAGAATAGATTATGAAGAGTCACGCTCTTGCAGAACTCGCCTAAAGCGGAAAAGTCATAATTGTAAACAGCAGTAGTCCAAGCAAAGTCCAGCCCATATATACATATATATATACGGATCACATAACGAAAGGATTAAATTTAAATGTAACATATAAATAGATTTAGTCGACTGTGATTTATTTAAACGAGAAATCCAAATGACTTGAGAACATAATACTCTTGGAATGGAAGTTTTCTATTAAGACTCTTATAATGATTTTTTCGGAAGGCATTTCCTGTCGTTCGGATCGGAAGAAAACGTCGGTTAACCACAGTTCACCATCGGTTAACCGTGGTTAATTGGCGAGTTTAACTAAAACCATCAGCTCTGACAACAAAAAAGACTACATGGGGTGGTACTTTTCAGCTCCTTGAAAGTTCAGTATCGAGACGAATGCTTTATACTAGACATTGTACTCACTGAGCTCGGCAAACTGGCATACATCCGATTCAAAATGGAGGCTAACACATCGAAACCTTCTCTCGTGAAAGAAAACATCTTCGTATTCATATCTATCTGAAGCAGAGCTAAAGTTTCTTTCCTACCACGATTTTCTGAAAGACTATAAGATTCTTTGAAAAAAGTTCGCAGATTTTGGGAAGAGAAAGCCTTCGCGATTCTCTTCCTAATTTGTAATCCTGCTCGGACTTATTCTTTATAGCAGAGTTTATTCTAAGATAACTTATGATTGTGTTATAAACAAACAATCTCTAACTCATGGAATTCAATAAAATATCATCATGATTCAAGTTCAACTATTGTAATATTTACATGTATTTTCGATATTCATTTCAGATTACTATTAATAAGATTTTCAAAAATATTCTTTTGCTTCAATATCACTAATACAACAATCAAATCAAAAGTGATATTTTATATCAGTCATTTTAGTGTATTCTTCACATATCTCTAATAATGGCATTAATATTCTGTTTTCTTTTTTATTAATAAATAGTCAAACTTTTTGCCAGCAAAAACAAATAAACTAATACTGCATTAAAATTCAATTGATTTTTTTTCCTTTAAACAATATCGATTCTGTCAAAAAAACAAAACAAAACAAACACTTTTGTAACAAATCATAGATAAGAAATGAAAAAATCTAATGAACTTAAACAATTATAACGACGATATAAAGAACGTTGGATTTAAACGTAATAGTGCATATTCAAAAACATTTTGTGCATTATATAAGTTAGCTTCTTTATGAAATATTGCATAATGATTTGTACGAAATAATTCAAATAATTTATGTGTACGTTGACTTGGTGCTTCAGTTACATCATGAGCAAGATGAATTTCAAAAAGAATCTGACGAATATAAGGTAGATCATTTTGATTATTATTTGAAGATTGAAATAATTCTTCAAAAAAATTAAATTCACTACCTTCAATATCAACTTTAAGTATGTGAATTTGTCGTTTTTGATGACCAAGATCTTTCATAATCATTTGTAAAGATTTTGAACTATCATTTTTTCCACTACCTAAACGAACTTGATGAAATATACAAACATTTTTAGGACATTTATACACTCCTAAATCAAATGTATGAATTTCTGCCTTTGAAAATAATCCTTTAATTGCTCGTTCAAAACTAAAATCACCATTAGAACCCAATGAATAAACAAGTATATTTGTAGTATTCATAGGTCCAAAACAATGTATATCACAAATCCATTTTCCTCCATCACCAATATTTCCAAGACGTCGTTCAAATTCACATTGTATTGTTGGTTCCCAATTATTTTGAAAAAATAATGGACGTGCATCGGAGAAACGATTACGTTTATCTTGTATATGATGAAGTCTTTTTCGACGTTTCCAATCAGAATCTAATTCACAAAACCAATTATCAGATTCTTTCATAGATAATTGACATTGATTAGGATTAAGTTGTTCTGATGATGATGGTCTTAATGATGAAATAAGATAGGTTATTGTTGATGATGATGTTTTATTATAAATAATAAAATAATATAAACTACATAGAGTTATAATAAGTGAAAAAATAATTAATGTTTTATTAGTCAATAATAAATCTAGTTTTTTTGTTATAATACTTGACATTAATACTGAATCATTTG